GTGAGGGGCAGGGGGTCTGGCAGGGGGCTAGGGTGTGGGAGGGGCTAAAGTGCCAGAAGGGGGGCAGGCGTTCATCTCTGGCAGGCAGAAACAGGAGACTCTGCTGCAAGCAGGCACACTGTCTCCATCAACAGCTGTCATCTCCCCACAGCTTCTACTGGCAACAGTTCCCAACCAATGGATTAGGAACTGCAGAGTCAGCGCTGGGAGAGGGGTTATGGAGAGGGGCCCAGACACTCCTCTGCCTGCAACAGTAGGGATGGGGAGTCACTCGCAGGGGCTGCTAGATGTGAGCAACCTCCCCGCCCCCATCCTGCACCCTAAGCCCCAAGTCTTCTTCCAGACCCCAACTTCCTCCCAGAGCATACCTTGCAGCCCCTCCTATGCCCCAATCTCCTGCCAGCTCTGCATCAATCACACTGTAAAGCAGACTTTTTATGCAGATCAGAAATGCCAGTTTATTGAACTTGCCGATTGGTGAAGTGCCGGATAAAAGGGCTTTTACTGTAATTCTGCATAGCATAATCTTTGCTGCTTAAATACAGACTGCAAAACATATATTTGCTGCCCTGCTAATACATGCACCTATAAGTCAAGGAACAGCTGAATTAAATGAGTTTTATGTTGTATCTAAGCTATGTAACTTTACTGCCAAGTCAGCTTCCTCTTGGGGGCCATGGCCAGCCTCTGGGTGCCAGTGAACCAGTGAACTTTAGCAGTGGGGCAGCTGCTGGATGGGGATTCCCTTTTTCTGCCAGTGCAACAAAGCCAGAGGTTTCCCTAGCTATTTGCAAGAAAAAAAACCAAAACTTGGCACATTGGGTACTTGCAGTGGAGTTCATTCCAAACGGCCCCCATGAATTTGTATCCTCTTGTATTTCATAAGCCTATCTTAAGGACTATGAATTTGTAACGCGATAGTACAGCTGCTGCCAATACACAATAAATAAGGTATTTTCTTAATTTGCTGAAGAATTGACACCAGCACAGTGGATTCATATCAGAGTTGCATTTTAGTCTCTCTCACATTTTTGGAGATTTCAGAAGTTAAATGCTGCTGAGTTTTGGGGGCCAAGAGGGTTTGGGGTTTTTATTTTTTGTTTTTGTTTTTTTCCCTTAAGTAGCGTAAGTGCATGGGACAGGTTTTGGTACCACACTAAAATGTGATGAAAATGCTAGTAGATAAGGTAGTATGCAAAATTTGTAGGAGGAAATGTATACAAACAGAGGATAGTAGTGACAATATGATTTCCCCATCACCATGTTTGAATTACTTCTAGACTGTGTATATCCTGATAATACAGTGGATTAACAGTATAGATACCAAGATGTTTTGTTCTTTTATTTTGAAAGGCCTACAGTATGCAGCCTTTCTCCCGGACAACAGCAAAAAACAAGGTGAACAACTTTTGCACTATGTGGTCTTAAACTGTTATTTTCTGTTATTTTCTGCTACATTTCTATCTTTCATTAGGATAGTTTAGATTACTGCATCTTGTTTTTAGAGTTATTTTATTTATCTCACCATCATCATCCTTATCACTTCCAGATCTAAGTTTTTAGCCGATACTGTGTATTTCTAGTTTAATTTTTTCTCTCTTGGTGGCAGCTGGAAGTGGTTACTCGGGTGTTAAACTTCAAGATGTGTAGTTGCAGTGGTAGCTCTTTAATCAGTTCTTTTCGGAGTGGGTGATGACACCTGGTGGTAAACTTTGTAAATGCAGACTTAGCTATGATTGTTCTTGGCTCTATTTTAAGAACTTGTACCTGCTGTGACAAGAACATTGGCAGTCAGACTTTATTTAAATAACTCTAGTTTCCTGCAAGGGCAATATGTTGGCCAAAATCTGCTTCCATTAACTTCCATGCAAACCAACTGAAGAAAATGAGGTTTTATTACTGTTAGAGGATAATTTATTTGTGTAACCTGACTGTTGAAGCCAATAGTGTATTTTTACAAGGAATATTTTGTTGTTTATTTTTTTTTTAAGATAATGAATACTGTGCATAAAATGAGTTTTATTTTTATATACATGCATTTTATGTACTTCAATTAACTCAAAATACCTTCTATGAAAAGGATGAAAAGTACAGAGAAATTTGTTTTCAAAACCTTATAGAGGGAATGCTACCGTCTACTGCTGTTTTATTTAAGATCATTCATGATTTTTGGCTTGGCCATTTCCTTTTTCTTCCCAGCAAGCGTATTTGACCATTGTCATAAAACCTTGCATTCAACTGGTAGTATATTTCAACATAAGTGGCATATCTGGAATATACTCAAATATTTAGTTCTTTCAGTAATCTCTACAAAATTGTGAACTACCTAATTGTATGGTAAAATACCTTCCCCTCAGTAGCTACAACAAATGGATTTGAGTCATCTTTATTTTTATTTAGGAAAATTTTCAATCAAAAGCTAATTTTCTCTCTTAGTTGGCCTTCTTGCTATGGTTGAAGTTTTGCAAAGTTATGTACAGATGAATAGTATTATAGGAAATGGAAAATGAACCTAAATTGATGTTTCATCTTAATATCACTTTGTTAGTATAGTAGCAAATCAAATATGTATTTTAGTTGTAGTTAAAATGTTCTGATGAAAGAACTCTGAAGTGTATTGCTATTGTACTTTGTTGAAGTCAGTATACTGTATGGACATCATAAAATTTATCAGAGCTGAGGCTAACACATTTTGAAAATTAGATCCCGTGAGTAAAAAAGACAAAAGTCTTATTATATCGTGAGCTACAGATCTGAACAACATATTAATATTTTCATCCCCAAGGTTCTGAGTTCAAAGAGAAGCTGATGAAGGTTAAAAAAATACTGTCCTGGTTAGCATTAATATTATGTGTTCTGGGGCGTAGAAGATCTGGGTTTGGGATTACCATTGCGTCCAAGGGTATTTTCTACTCAGGAGGGTCATGGAGACAATAGAGTTATTCTTCAGGGTCCAGAAAATGATGACTGCCACTTGCTGTATAAGCATCTACTAAGCAACAGTGGAGATGCTATATTGGAGGAGGTCACTCGCATGCAAAGAGTAAAGTGACAGTAGTTCCCAGGCATGGAGAAAAGAAGTGAGGATTCTCATGACTCTGGACCAGACTTGGTCGGACCAGACTTGGTCAGACCAGATGTGGTGAGAACATCTTTTCCAACAGCTGATTCCACAAGATGAGGGTAAAAAATAATTTGGTCATACTTAATCAGAATAATTCTTTTACAAAGCATGAAAACCAATTGAACAGTGCAGTATTTGCAATTGAAAGGACTCAGAGTGATACCTGAACTAGGAAAGATATTTTCTGTTCTAAGCAGAGGGGAAACTGCATTTCAGATAACACTGGCAAATGTAAACATCATTTAATTCTGACCACTCAAAATTCTGTCTATATTTTAGTCTTATAGACTTCTAGGGCTAAATTCTGCCTGCAGTCACATTCATGATCCTCTTATTGACGTCAGTGAGGATTACACACATGTATCAGGTCAGAATTTCACAGTCAAGACTAAATTTTCAAGGAAGAATGTATCAGAACACATCTGTATATCAATAGAATCACATTCCTTATCTTCCAGGCAGGGCTCCAGGAATAATCTCAGTAATGTCCAGCACTATAGATAAAACTTTTTTTCTTTCTGAATTGTATGGGGATGGCTCATCAGAATTTTTTGTGCAATAGTTCATTATTTTATTCTTTGTAATTCACACTTTAGAACTGAAAACCTGTCATTTCTAAGAGAGTAGGACACTTTTAGGCCCCACCCTTTAGTAATGTATGTAAGAAAATACACCACATCTATGGAAAGGAAAAAGAGAACACTGATCTGCAATTTGTTAAGGTCCAGTGCTAAGCACAAATGTTTGTTTGGGTAGTCTAACAATTAAGTATTTTAATAAAAGGTTAATAGCTTATATCTTACAAGACTAGAACCAAGAACACTTTTATTGTGGAGATTTTTAATGTATAGTTTGGGACATAGCTCATATTTGGGTTTGTGTTACTAACCAGACATTAAAAGAAATAAAGTCTAGAATTCATATTATGTTTAGTTAGAGTGTGTTACATTAATAAAATTATTTTAGGATATAGGTTTTCTTTCCTGGTTTTTAAACACAAATGAGGTACAGTACACATCTTTAAATGTTTATAATATCTAACTGCTGCTGGACTTTAAGAAGTATCAATTTTGTTCTTAGTTGTTGCAGATAATGAAAATATCATACCAAATTATTTTGTATTTTTTGTAGGACTGGGAAACAGAAAATCATGACTGGTATTGTTTTGAATGCCATTTGCCTGGAGAGGTGTTGATATGTGACCTGTGTTTTCGTGTGTATCATTCCAAGTGTTTGTCTGATGAGTTCAGGCTTAGAGACAGCAGTAGTCACTGGCAGTGCCCAGTTTGCAGGGTGAGTACCTATGAGCTTTAATGTGCTGATTAGAGGGTTGATACTCATTAATAGTTTCATTAAGGTGGCACAGATGGCCTGGCCAGGTTAATGGATTAAGTACTGTCTGTTGAAAATAATGATACATACATAGTGTACCTACACAAAGATTCTAGAATACTGTCCATACAGATGACTACTTTTTTGAAGTTTCCAGGAAGTTTGTATAACAGTAAAATAGATAAATGTAATGCTTCTTCACTATAAACTTGTCAGTGTTTCTTAATGCTGCTATGGTTTTCAGCACTAAGAAGTTAATGCATTCTGTGTATGCAACTTGCTGTGAAGTATATAATCCATACACTTCATAGAAACCTTATAAGGTTTCATTGTATCTAGCAAAACTTCTATATCTTCATTACTACCCTTTTTGTGCCCATTAAATATTTTGAATTGCACCCTGTCCACTTGTATCAGATTCTGAGGTAGCTTTTGCTATTGTTGATAAATGATCTGTGATGAGGGAATGAAAAGATGAAGATCAAATGGAATAGTCAGGTAGGTATTTAGGTAGATTTCGTAATTATACTTATTCATTTTCCCATTGAATTTTTATTTATTTATATGAACGCATACAGTGGTGGAGTGTATGTAGAAAAGTGTGTCTGTGTGAATGTAATGCATGATTGTAGTGTATTATGGAAATCTTTATCATAAGTATATAAAATACTACTCAAGATGCTATTTATTTAATTTATGGTCATTTTAAATATAGTGTGTTTTTCTGAATCACAACGTGAATTTTTGCAGATTAATGATCATATTATTGAGACTTTTACTTTACTAGAATATTGTTATGCATTATAAAAATCAGAGGCATACTACGACAGCTTCCAAAAATATGGGACAAAATCCTGGCCTTACTGATGTGGGTAGAGTGTTCCCATTGCCTTCAGTCAGACCAGGATTTCACCCATTGCCTCAATATATTACTTTTCTTTTCAAGTTTTTGTCCTAATGAGCATGATGAGAGAATAATAGTTTTTATGTGCACTACAGAGCAGGGAAGTTTTCTACATGCCATTAGGCAAAACTAAACATCCACATCATGCTATTGTTCATTGACACCTGGTCTTGAATCAGCCAGCTACATCCTCTTACTGATAGTATTCCTGCATATGCTCAAGGTGTGGGCAAAGGGCACATTCTGAGCCTTAATTAAATGGAAGGAAAACTACATCTGAATTCTTACTAGAGTCACTACTGGCACAGAAAGGCATTCAACCTTTTACTAGTTGCTTTGCGGCATTTGGATGCTGAAAGTGAGATAAGAGTCCCTAGAAGTAGGTTTAGAACCAGATCTTATGCAGCAAGCCAGAATGTGTGTGCCCCCTCTCTTTATGCTGCAGAAAAACTGTTGGAGACCACACAGTTTGTTTCTTTTAAAAGAAACACAGTTCTCTTAGCTCTTACTTGACAATCATCCGGATGCTAATTGTAAAAAGCCACACTCCTTGAGTCAGGGCAGTCACTGTCGCATGTAAGAAACACACACACAAAACTCACAGATGCAGTTAAAATTAGACATAGTAGACCAAATACCTAACTCTGCTCTAGCTGTGAGGTTGTTTTAAGTAGCAGCTGGGGACCAAGAGGGTACAAAGATGACTTAAAGCAGTAGTGGAGAACCTAAGGCCCGGGGCTGGATGCAACCCCAGGCTTGCCTGGATCTGGACCCTGAGGCCAGCCCCTCTCACTGGCCCTCTGCAGGGCTAGAGCACACAAAATCTACTATCCTGGGCCCCCCAAGGCTCTGGTATGCAAGGGGAATTTGGAGAGTTTCTTTCTCCTTCTCAGTCCGGGGCCACGTCAGTGAGAGTTTGGTTTTGGTTTTTTTGCTTCCCACTTGTGTATGGCTCCCAACCGATTTTTCTGTGAGTCATCTGCCCCCAACCCAAAAAAGGTTCCCTACTCCTGACTTCAAGCCATTTTCTTCCCCCTCTCAGGTGTTGTGATATGACCCACAGTCACGTCAGAGGGTCTGGTTCATTTTCCAATGTATACAAATAGCTGGGCAGCCATTTTTTAGATACATTTTACTTTCATCCTGGAATCTTGAATTCCATTAGTTTATGCTGATATTAAACAAACATTTACATTGCAGAAAATATTTTGAAACTCATCTGCTCTTCCATGAATGATGTGCACTTGTGCCTACTGGTCCATGTTTTATCTCCTTGATAACACGTTTATTGACCTGTGCGATTCATTCATTTTCTGACCCAAAAAACCCTGCAGCTCACAGAATTGCACAGTGACTTGCACAGTGACTATCAGCCTCTTCCCCAAAAGACTTCCATTTTGTAATAGGAATACCACTCACCCTTCTCCCCCACAACAGCATTGCTTGCTTGCTAGCTTTCTGCTTAACCAAACTTACTTCCCACCCACATCAAATTCTGCAGCAATGTACTAGTAGATCCTCTGCAGACTCTGGAGGAAAGAGAGGGATTGAAATGCTGATTAGTCCCACACGCCTGTCAACTGGTTTGGGAAATATTCTGTATTTTATGACTATCTCCAGCAGGGGATTATCCATTCTAATTTTATTTTAAAAGAGAGAGAGCAACAGAGCACGAGAGAGAATCCTCAAACTCATAACTGATTGACTGGTTGATGCTCAAAGGACATAACAGAGCTTAGCTATCTTGGGAAGGGGCAGAGGGATTTACTTTGCGTTGTCAGCAGTAAATGTATATACATTTAAGCAAAATATTAACTGGGCCAAAAAGTATGCATGTCTAGTAATATTTTACTCTGCCAATGCATAGAATGTTTCAAAGGTGAAGGGAAAGTGTGTTTTGAAACAGTATATCAGAGAACTAATATTACAAACAATAATTCATTCTTATTAAAAGGTTTTCCATGTAATGCTGCCCAGGTCATCTGGTCTGTGAACTCTTCAGCACTCAGTTGCTGGGTGTGCTTCAGTCACTCAAAGCAGCTTTATTTCATTCACCTGCTTGCTCCAGAAACATTTTACAAAGGACATCATTCTCAAAGATGTTTTGTAATTTTAAAATATGTTTCCCTCTACAATGTTTATTGCAGTTCTTGGAATCATGGTTCTGACATTTGCTTTCTTTCATTCACATGACGAGCTTCTGGGCTCTTTAATTTTAAAGGATTAGGGTGAATAATTGGGTATTACTGCACAGCTTTTAGCATTGCTAAGATGATACAGAGTCAGGCATAGGTTCAAATCCAACCTGGGTTAGTAGTATTAGTTAGTAGCAGCCCAGTTTCTGGTTGATAGGTCACAACAGAGAAACCAACTATCAACTGAGTATTAAGACCAGATAGCTTTTCACCTGTAACAAAATGGTCCCTTCAGGACTTGGGAAGATTGCAATGGTTTGGTTTCCTATTAGGTAGATAAAAGGAAGAATTTCATTTCCATGGCTATTGATTTGCCACCTACTAGGGAAACTAAAAAGAAAATAATACTAGGAAAAATTACTGAATTATTTGTTTGGGGAAAATTGATGCACACAAAGACTTACATGAACTTCATAAATAGAAATAAAAACAGGTCAGTTTTTGAGTGTTACCAACTGTGATTATGTCCTTTTAAGAATTTCATAAGAAAGAAAAAGAAGATGGAAAAGCAGTATGATCGTTTGCACGTCTACCCCAGGACTAGATTAAACTTCCGATAATCCGGCACCTTTAGGACCCAGGGGGTGCCGGATTATCAGAAATGCCGGACTATCAGAAGGGGGGGCTATGAGGGGTCTGTGGTTGGGTGGGGGGGATGCCACCCCAGACCCCTCATAGCCCCCCGTTCCAATAGTCCGGCTCTGCCTCAGGCGTCCCTGATTCAGCTGCTGCTGGTCAGTTTCAGCAGCCGCTGAATCGGGGATGCCTGCGATAGAGCAGCTGGGGGGCTGCCCGGGTGGGTCCCC